CATAAAAAGGTAGGTATGCTATTTGACAACCAGCTATAACATAGGTACAAAATTCATAGAAAATTAACGTTTTTGAAGCTTGGGTACCTAATTCATTTGATAATTTGAAAACTATCCTATTTATTTATTTATACAAGAGAATCCAGAATGATCAATGTTTAATATAGTATCCAAAAAAGCCACTAAGGTTTAGACTTGTGCTGTTATGAATAGCTACGTAACTAGACATGTACTTAAATGTACCTATACCTTCATAATGTAGGTATACTTATACCTGGTTGCCAACATATCAGGTGTATAAAAAGTCCATAAATGACAAGTTTGCTTACCAGGCAGTTACTACCTATATTCGTTTATTGTACGTACCTACATACCTATTTGCTGTAGGTATGTGTATCAGTCTTGCATTTTTTTATATTTTGAAATACTTTTACGACTCACTTACGCCGTGCCATACACGTTATTTATAAGCCCACTTATGTAGGTACTTGCTTCGAGTTACGAAATGTATCGACCAATATTCAACCCATAATAAAATATTTCTACGTTTTTATTATAGGGCTGAATCGCCTGGCGCCCAGCGGGGGTCTGTGTTGAATCAAAACGATTTCAATTTGTTCCATTGCATAATTTTCGGAAACTAAATAATTCTTGTTACATTTGAATGACGACTACGAATCGGAGATGTTAGATAAAAGTACACAAACATTGCGCAACTTTTTTGAACGACCTTGTACCTACTGCTGTTTGCAATCAATGTTTTGGTGTTGAGAATGCTCTGCTATCATTCACGAATCACCTATGGCCTTAAGTTACGGCACGACTTTATAAGTTTATTAGAATTTTTGTGAACTTCAACCTCAATTCTTTTTGCAAAGGTAACCTTCTGTATTTGGGAGAGGTCGTGCCAACTGTCAAGTGTTGCATGCGCAGCACTCTTTGTTGAAATTTCTAGTTGTTTGTGGGATATAATCTATTAAGGTCTTATCTAGCATTTAGTGTGTATAAGTAGATTATCTATCCCTATCCCTAAGCTTTCATAAACATATCCTAAAAATTCTGTAAAAAAAGGTTGGTAGGTACAGGTATACATACATTCTACCTACTAACACAGTAGGTACCTACGGTTTACAAGGAAATAAAAGATCAGATGAAGCAATAAAACGAACAAACACCAACACTTATAGAAATCTCTAGGAAATGATCATTTCAGTGCCTGGTGGCTTTGTTTCCTTTCCTTTCACTGTTCAGCTCGCGGCCATTTTCATTTAAACACCTGATCATTTTTAAGAGAATAATTAAACTCAGAATGCTGCAGTTATGTTGCAATGAATTATTATTCCTGGTTCAAACGCAAATGGCTTTTTGGTGTAGACTGAAGAAATCTTGAAATACGTCAAAGCGAAGCAAACTAAAATTATAAATTCCCACTCCATAACCATTCGTTTTCAAATTTTTTTCAATTTGTTGAGAGAAAAGTAAACTGTTTTATTATGAGCAATGAAAAAGGTGAAAAGTGGGTAGAGAACCCAACTAAAAACATTCTATCTATATATCTCTTTTTGTGTGTGGGGAAAATCATCAAATGTGATCTCTCGACCAGGGTGAGGCGGAAGGGAGTGTCAGACTGTGACTGACTAAAAACCCACCCGGTCCTTCTCCTGCACTAGACCGCGGCAGCGGTACCTCATTGCGCTTGCCCTACAAACTCGGCTGATTTACCCTGTGTATTAAAACAATATAGGTATAATACAACATATTGGTCAGTTCCGGGTTAGGGTAAGTCAGTTTGAGCATGAAACCACAATAAATAAGTTCATTTATGTTATTATATTAGGAAGAAAAAAGTAGGAATTACAATTTACAGCTATGATCTTCTCATACTTTTTTTTATATAATATATTATTCTATGGAGTAACCAATGTTTTGATAAATTAAGTAAATAATAAGAAACATGAGCGTCTACATTGTATTGTGTTCTTGGTACAACCGCAGCTTGCGAATAAAAACAGGAAGCTGGGCTTGCATAATTTGACCAAGAGCTGTGTTTGAGTACCTGGTAATAAGATGATGTGGTGCGCGTAACCACTGGGAGAACTTTTAATTCACAACAATTCCGACGCCCATTTACTCCGCCAATCATTCTAAAGTGACTGTTATTTTTTAAACGAAGTACACAGGCGTTAAGGTTCTGTTTCTGATGCTAGCACTATATTTATGTAATGAAGAGTTATCTGCTTACCTGTTCATGTTCATGATCCACGAAATTATTGGATGAGATTTAAGGGGTCTGACAGTAAGGTTTTCGAAGGTCATAAAAGGAAGACCCCTCGACTACAGGCGATAATGCCTATCGTGCTGCTACATAAAGGCTGTTTGGCTTTCTATATTTGTCGCCCAAAAATAATACTTAGTTAATTTATTCAACTTAATGATTCGTAGACCAATGTTTTAATTCATGTCTCGTTTAAAACAAAGTCAATCAAGTTCTGTGGCGTTTTTATTTACAAGTTTCTTAATTTACAGTTTCATCTTTATTAAATTACAGTTTTTAATGCAATTATTAACCTTCGCCTACCTAATGTGTTTCCTTTATGTCTGGTCATTGCGTTAAAATTAACTTCTGAACAAAATTACGACGTTCTGGATACTATTAAAATTTGTTCACATACAGGTTGTTTTAATATCACATTACTTTCTTTCTTTGGTTAATTAAAAATGTCATTCATCTTTCCAACAACTTTTACATGAAAATCCGACACTCACTTTCCAGACGCCAGAATTATTGTAATTTTTCAATAAAAATTATGACCTCCTTTCGTTCTGTAAACATCCTGTATGTATATTATGCAAAGCGTTTTTTTTATTGCGGAACAGTATCGATTTTATCGTTCGTTTAAGAATGGAGTGTTTATTGAAAGTCATCATATTATTGGAGTATTTTGATAGCAGTTTAATCTAGTGCGGGAAGGGAGCGCTTTGAAATTCAAATTGGTACCGATTGCCGAGATCGGGCGCGTCATTCATCTCGCTTTATAATGAGGCGTGGAATGAGAAACTACCCTCTTTCATCACCGCCTATAATATATATCACCGCCCACCAATGGTCAATATAATGAACACTAGGAACTTTGATATCCGTATCCGGCAATTTATGATAAATTTCGACGCTGTGAAACTTCGGTACCTATAATGTATTGTACAATTTTTTGTGTTCAAGGATATATATTTCTCACGATTTTAAATTCAAAATAACTATTGTGTCGCTGATTGAAGGATTTAGTAAGCTAGCCTAACTAATTCGTGACTGTTCGATATTACTTATCATCGTTTAAAAATAAAATGCAGTTATGTTTTTTTTATGATGGACATTTAAAAATATCTAGATTTGTATTCGTTTCGCTAGGTGGGCCGTCATGTGAGGTCTGTAAGAGGACTCGGACCTGCCCTTTACATGTGGGGATGGTGGATTATTTTAACAAGTGCTTTCCTCGTGTTTACACTTTAGTCTAGACAAAGAGTTATGTCAGAATTTTATCGACTTCGCCCTTGAAACAATTAGAGGTTCATTGGGTACTCTGTTGAACGACCCCTTAGGTATACCTAGTTCGCCGTTATAAGTTTCTTTTTTTTTTTTTTAAATAAGACGTTTCGTGTCGTGGGTGCGTTTACAAACATACAATTTCACATACACATCACACCCAGACCACAACAATTTGTGGTTCACACAAAGAGTTGTTCCGTGCGGGAATCGAACCCGCGACACGTTGCACGGCAGCCAGTTGCCCAGCCACCGCACCAACCATGCACTCAAAGTATTATATTTTGTTGGTATCTAACCATGGAGGAAATTTTCCTTCATATGTCTAACATTTAATAAAGGACCTACCTACCACAAAACTTTTGTAGGTACTTACCTATTAGGTACCTATACCAACACCCCAGTAGATGTACCTAAGTACTTATATCATTGTTCCGTTGTCTTATTCCTGATCCCGTTAACTCTGAGTGACATCGACCGCGTCTGTAGTTCCATGATTGATGAGACCTATCCATAAAGAAAGATTAAGGATTGGCTCCTTATATTACCTGTTACATAACAGAATTTAGACTTTATTTCTTAGCCAAATATGCTGATAATTTATTAAAATTATTTATAACAGTTTGGTGTAGCCGTAATACACCCACAAATGCTCAATTGTAAGTATTTAAGTAAATCGACATATAAAATGTTTAAGTGTATTGCTTTAAAAAAAATGTTTTTTTTTTAAAGTAGGTACGTACTTGGGTACTTAACAAAAAAAAAAAGAAATTTGACATCGCTCCGATTTTTGTTTCGAAGCAGCTTTACTTACCGGAGACCCTGCCCTCCCCCTCCCTAATCCCTTAATCTCCAAACCCCTATTCCCCAAAAAGTTGGTAACGCACTCGTTACTTCTCTGTTGTTGCCATGGGCGGCGCTTATTACCATCAGGTACTCCATCAATTTGTTTGCGGACTTATAAAATAAAAAAAAAAATATGCTATTAAAGTTATCATTGTTAAAATTTAATATATGAAACGCTAAAACTTCGTTCCTTCTTTCCAAACGATGATTCGTCTTAGTTAACAATGCGTTTCTTAAGTTAAACTTATGTATATTACGTAAAAAATACTAATACTTGAGATGAAACTTATTTTGAAAGTAAAATGATTTGCATGCATGTTTTTTCAAAGTTGTACTCTTGATTGTAGTGCGGTGTGTGCTGAATAGAAATGTTTTCCTGGCTAACTGTCAAATATTATTGACATTTCACGGTTGACGGATGACGGCTAGTCAACTGTCAGTAACGATTTGTTTACATATACGCTGTGGTATTTATTTGTGCTTATTATGTATTATTAATACATTAAATTTATTTGGAAAGGAAAATATATGTCCATAATAAAACTTAACTTAATGGAAATATTTTTGGATCAATGTGTACGTAAGAACAGTGATAGCTAGTTGCCGGTAAATAATGGATAACCTCAAAGAATGTGTTGTTGAGAAAATAGTGCAGAGTTGTTTTAATTTATACGACAGCTTACCAAAGAATGGAAAACCCATCGACAAAGAGTGGACAGTACTATCATGTTTCATAGAATACAATACAGCTTCAGACAGAATTGAAGTGGTATCATTGGGTACTGGTTCAAAATGTGTAGGAGCATCGAAAATGAGTCCTAATGGGAGTATACTCAACGACAGCCATGCCGAAATATTTGCTCGACGAGGCTTTTTATTGTACCTGTACGAAAATATTGACAAAGCTTTAAAAGACAAACAAAGCATATTTAGCAAAGAGAATGGTCAGTTAAAACTTAAGGATAATATACAATACATATTTTACTCCTCACAATTGCCGTGTGGAGATGCATCTATAATATCTCATAACGGTGATGGTGAACAATATGGTGATGTGCTGACCAATCAAAAACGAGGGGCCCTAGATGATGTTAGTGAGATAGAATTTAAAAGACAAAAAGTTGAAGACTATCTTAATAAAACAGGTGCTAAATGTTTACCTCAATGTGAACAAGATTTGAAGGAATCGGGAACAAACATTCAGCTTCTTTTAGGTCAAGTGAGAACGAAACCGGGGAGAGGAGACAGAACATTGTCTGTTTCATGTAGTGACAAAATAGCTAAATGGGTATATCTAGGTGTTCAAGGGAGCTTACTAAGTATGCTTTGTGAACCAATATACATAAAACACTTTATATTCGGTGGTGGTGTACCATTTTCAAGTCAATCTCTAAACAGAGCATTTTTAAGTCGGACAGAGTCACCACCTACATTAGATGTGGTTCCTCAATTTTATCATAGCAATTTGGTCTTTACAAATATAAGCTCAGATGTCAATATAAGGCCGGCCCCTGGGAGTATAGTGTGGACAAAATCATTTAGCCAGTAAGTAAATATGTATTAATTGTAATATTTCATCCCTAATTTTATATTATTTATAGATTTAGTTATACTGTTATTGTATATTTAATATTTTTGTATGTATCTCCTCTTTTATTATCCTATCCTCTTTTTTGTATTTTTTACTCAATAAAGCATAAATAAATTTGTTAGGACATTTGACTGTGTGATCCACAAATTGTTGTTTCGGGTCTGGGTGTGATGTGTATGTGACATTGTATGTTTGTAAATGCACCCACAACACAGAAAAAATCCTAGTGTGGGGCAACATTAAAAAAAAAACAAAAACTGATGTTTTAGTCAGCTGTTGTTACTTCCAAGTCTCTAAGGCCTCTTTTCTCATAAAGAAGCAGTGAACACTAATTGCCATACTAGATCAAGCTGATTGGCAGTTCCAAATTTTGTAATTTGCAAACTTATGTAATGATGTCTAATTAAACTTAAAAGGTATGGAAAAACATATACTTAAGTTCATGCCACTGTAAATTTACTGACATTCATTTCAACATTTCAGAAGGCCAGAAGTAGCAGTGCAAGGCAGAAAATTGGGAGTCACAGTGAAGAAAGCTACATCACCTGCTTGCAGTTTATGTATCAGTAAATATAATTTGTATAAAAAATTCCTTCACATACTCAATAGTAATGAAGATCTGAAACAAAGGATATGTAGCCAAGATAAAATTGAAACAATTCCTTATAATAAAATGAAGAAAAAATCTGTTCATTATTATGATAAATGGGTTGATATTAAGGAAAAGTTTTTTAAGACATGGACTGTGAAACCAGATATGTGGGATTTTTGTATTAATATTAACTGAATCAAATTATTTTATATACCATTATTGTATAGAATGAAATGAATATATTGATGTATTTATGTGTACCAAGATTTTGTATCATTTTATGTGGCATTTGCATTTGATCCTTATACAATAGCTATTTTAATTGTCTTAAAAAGGAACCGATTTTATAAAAGCGTATTACGAAGATAAAAAGTATCTAGAATGTTCCAAAATCAAAACTATAGCTTTAAATTGTCACCTTCACCCATTAAGTAATCCATATATCAAAATTAGGCGTGTGATAAAAATATTTTATGCTATTTGATGACATAAGTAGGTATAACATTTCAACAAATGGTATCACCATAATTAATGTGGACAGCTAGAAGTTAAAGTGTTACAAAATAATACAGATTATTACAGCTAACACTACGTAATATAGTTATTGCGAGATTAAGAGTAAACGTGTACGGTTTTGACAGAGCGACTATCTATGAGACAACATTTAGGATTATCAGTCTTCATAATCGTTCTATCGATTGGTGACTGTGTGGCTTCGAAATAAGCGGTTAATGTGTGTGGTGTTCGTGTGAGGTCGGAATCTAATATTCACATATTATTTGCTCAGTAATCTGTATGATCATTATATAATTAGTTAGCTAACTGTCACTACATCGTAAAATCTAATAATGTATATTTGTATAATAATAACGTCCATAAAATAATAGCAAAACTTACTACTAACTAAACAAAAATAGTAGCATTATATAAAATTTAGGGCGTAACAGGGCGGGTTGCTAGTCTAAATGTAGGTAAATATATATCGCAAAATATGTTAGTAAGCGCATAACTTAAACCAAAGCCTGGACCAATTTTGATAATACTTTTTTGTTATTGTCAGTAGAAGGTAGGTAGGTACTTGTAAAGAAAATTAAAAAAAATGCAGAAAAAATCGATCAATTGCTATTGGGAGCAAATTGTAAGTAGATAATGAGACTTAGGATTCCTATAGAAAAATTATAGGGACCTACTCTAACTAATAAGCTGATTTGTCACTTGTTTTTAAGTCCGCACTTATAACTAAAAAGGCAGAACTAACTACAAGAGTAGAACTAAAATGTGCTTACATACAACAGTACGCTGAAGCGGTACGCACGGTCGTGTCTATGCGCCCCATCCCACTGCGGAGCTTCATTATCTGTGTATGCTTGACGTTTATTAATTACTATGTATATTTAAATATATCAAGTGACGAAATTCGGGTACTAACCTACTTTTTTCAACCTACTGTAGTTCCTACTTTACCGTTATTTGTTATGAAATCAGATGCATATATGACATTTGGACTTAATTGCACTAATGTGGCTTGAGATGAGTCTGGTGAGAGTCGCTGTCTAATAAATAAATTAGTGTATACTTTAATTATTGAGTAAATATGATTAATGACATTACCGATTAGAAGTTAAGGATAAACGATACAGGTTTAATTCAGAGGATTTCTAAGAATCTTTTGTAAGTTATTAGGGGTTATCTGCCTCGTTTATTTAGCTGTAGATGTATTTAGGAAGGTTTTTCAATTAATATATTTAATATCGATGGAAGTCGTATCAACACTTTCGCAAATTAATTAATTTGATTTGACATTGACGTTACCTACTTTACAACACAAAATTAAATTGCTTACACACCTATAAATAAATTGATAAATATTATACAATAGCTTTTGTGGTCTACATTATAGTCTACACTTACAGCTGTTCTAACTTATTTCGAACCAAATCCCCGTGGAATTTTAAACAGACAGGCCTAATGCTTAACCTTAAGAGACGGGAGGGGTCAATTTTATTTATAAACCACCCAGCCATCCAGCCACCCACACAGCAAACTCAGATAAAAATCCCGGAAAGGATCACCGTTAAACAATCACTCGAAGTTCAAACGTGAGTGGATGCGCCCGCGCCGCGCCACCGATGCATAAGAGCATTAACGTTTAAGTAAAACAAATGGGTGCATGTCAGGTACCGCCCACATACGCGGAACAGATTATTAGTTATTGATTGTGGATTATTACAGAGACAAATGACTCTGTTTAGTATTTTCGGGCCGAATGAAGTAACATGTGCACGTTAAAATCATGTTTTGTAATAACATTACACACGTTTTCATTTAAGTGTGTGAATGTGATTCATTACCTTCACGGTTCACTAACTTAATTACTTCCAATGATTTAGTATGTGGGTACAGTGGGATTGCCTTGCTGATTTAGCGGCCGTAAGCGCGGCTGTTAAGAACGAAGCAGATAGTGTTTTTAAATGTTCACTCGTTATGTAGAATGAAGACCGGGTTGCTGCACAGCAATTAGCAAACTGTAGATACAGGACGCCGTTAGGTTTTTCTTTTTCTAAGCAGTTTCTCTACCTACCTTTTACTACTAGTTCTGCGATCCATAATGTCCACATCATTGGACTTTATCTGTCACTTTTTGAAAGTGTAAAGGTTGATTAATTACCTACCCTTCAAAATGATTGATATCAAGAACAAGAAGCGGAAAATAATTGAAAAAAAGAGCTTACAGTAAAGTCAGAGGAATTAATGTTAATCAGCCAGTAACTGGCTTCCAGTTGTCACGGTCCGGTGAGAATCCGACACCGGGCGTCGCCGCTTTGTCATTATTTCGACAAGAATCGAACTGATTCGTCCGGCCCGTTCCGTGTTCAGGTTCACCCACTTTCTACCGGAAGGCAATTAAAAATTATTTGCATTTCTCTTTATGTTGTACTTTAATATTTTTGCAATGTTACGAGTTTTGTTTCATCTAAGCGGATTTGGCTGTTTGTCTGATTAAAGTAGAAAAAATTGGATAAGTACATTAAGTACCAGTACTAGAGGTTCAGGGTTGTGGGTATTAGCGCAATAATGTACTGCGCCCCGGCTTCGAGCCCAAGAAAGAACGCGATGGTTTTTAGTCGAGTCTGAGAGTGACACTCCTTCTCACTTTACCCAGGGTAGGACAAGACATTCGATGACATGGAGGTACAAACTCAATTTCGTATGAAAAAACTAATTAAATAAAAGGCTCGATCGCAGTGATACCACATCCTCATTAAAAACCAGCTTGAAACAATCACAGCGTTGTGTTTTGCCGTATGAGTGAGGTTACTGGTGACCCAATCCTTTTTCTCTCCGTATCATCCTTCCCCATTCTCTAAATCTCCGAAACCTTAATCGTTGATTAATCCTAACGATAAGAAAAGAGTATCGAGTGCTTTGCCAGCCTTCTGGGGATATAAGCATTAGCTTATGGTTGTATGCCTAATTATAATATCACATAAAATAAAACCTATCACATAAAAAAATATCTACTCATACTCATATAAACGAACAAATTCAGGTGGTCCATTTATTATATATGCCTACTATACCTAGATATACCAATAGGTATAAACTGCAAAACATTAATATTGAAGCTGGTCGAAGCAACATTGGATGTGACAATAGCAAATACTGCTGTACTGTCCAATGAAGATATGAATACTAGATAAATAAATAAATAATTGTGAGCACATGTAGAGTGGTGGTGCTTCGTAAGATGAGGTTAGAATGTTAGATAGTTCATAAGTTTCCGCTAGCCGGCCGCGACAGGACAATGGAGGGCTTAGTGCATAAATCACGGCAGGTGAGCGTGCTCTGATCGTCCTCAGGCTTTACAGGTGCTTTATTTTGTTTGTCCGTATTTATGGGTACACTTTGTTGTCACTAGGTAAGATGTTGGAGTGGATTGGAAGTTAAAACGCCCACTTCACAAGTATCGATGTGACTTTTGCAAGTAAATATTTTAACTTGCAGAATACCGGTGAGATACTACGCTTTTTTTTGTGAGTGGAAAATTATCAAATGACTTCTCCCGCCCAGGGTGGTGCGGGAGGCAGTGTCAGACTCTTACTGACTAAAAACCCCCGATCATTCTCTTGTTCAAGGCCGAGGCCGCGGTGACTTATTGCGCTTGCCCCGCAACTCATCGGCTGATGATACAACGTTGATGTTCCGTTATGTAAGTGAGATTAGCGAAGGCCCAATCCTTCCCCCATTTCAATTATGTACAACCTACAAAAGGACGGCAACACATCTGTAACTCCTTTGGTGGTGTGGGAGGTGCAAACTGCTTATCGTCAGGGAATCCGTTAGAAGGTAACAGACAATAACGAGT